GTGGGATGCTGGTACCCAGGGTGCCCTCACCGCCCCATCAGCACTGCCCTCCTCCCCAGCATCCAAAGTTGTTTAAAGGCAACTGCATAGGAAAAGCTGTAACAGCTCCTGCCTCTGCAAGCACAGTGTGCTGCTGTCCCTGCCGGCGCTCGGAGCTGGTTTGCCTCAAGGAATCCGTGAGATTCGTCCTGCTGTGATCTGTAACAATATTGGGATTAAATTAGCTTCCCTGAGCTGCAGAGGGGTCAGTGTGTAAGGCCCCCTGGTTAATCCAGCAGGCCAAAGAGAACAGAAGCCTCCCTGCATTGGGAAAGGAAAACAACGGGGTCTGTTTGCAATCCGTGGAGCTAATTCAAACAGCATTCCTCAAACAACAGGGGAAAAAGGGCCTTCGGAGCAAATGAGAAAGGAGCATTTCCCAACATGCGCACGGCATCGCTCCTTGGAAGGAGGGAGAATGTCCAGGCCTGCATGGGGTGCCAGTGAGGAGATCCTGAAAGCAGGGCAGGTCCCTGGGGCACGCATGGGAGCTCCCTCCCTGCCCTGTTCCTGGGGAGCACGAAGCGAGCTGGTCCTGCCAGACCCCTCCTGACCTGCCTTGGGCAGCACGGGGGTGCGGGCAGACTGCCCATGACACAGCAGTGGGATGGGGTACTTGGATCTTGCTCTGCCTTCATTTCATCCCATTTTCCTGGCTCAGCACCAAACCGGGGTGAGCTCCCCAGGGATGTTCCTGGAGGGACACGAGCATCCCAGCACGGCCACAGCCAGAGCAAGGTTAGGAAGCAGCATTGCCGGGCTGTGAAAGCCCAGGCTTGCTTGCTCTGCCCAAGGAGAAGAGGCATGCCTGGGTGATCCTATCAGGATCACTCCCGTTCCTCTTGCTTTCCCATGGAAGGCATGATCCTGCGTGCCCCCATGCCTGACCCCCCCCAGCACGGCTTGTGCAGCCTGCCTCAGGAACTCGATAGTCGTCTTTGCAACCAGAGCACTTATTTATGCAGCAAGCTCGGCACTTGGGATAACTGCATTGTTGGGGACCCAGGACCGCAGGTGTTCGGATGCTGCTGCCCAGGCTATCAATGATGCTGCAGGAGATAAGCCTTCTGTGTTAAAGCAGGGTGCAGGGGAGCAGGGGAGCGTCAGAGACAACTTCAGGATGTTCTTGCTTTCCTTCTGCTTTCTCGGCGAGCGTCTCGCTTGCTTTTTGCTTATGCTGAGATATTATCACAGGCTGATGAGGCACCGGGGATGAGTAATGCACCCTCTGTGCCAGCGGAGAACTTGTAGGCACTGGTACCTGCCTCTGCACACAGGGTTAACGTCAGGAGCCCTGGGTCTGACAGAAGCTGTGGTGCTCAGGGCCGGAGCTGCTGGGTGCAACCCCACTGCCTGCATCCATACAGGCAGAGGGATGCAGCTCCTGGCAGCTCAGTCCCAGCCTGGAAGTCCCCATGGTCCCCAGGCAGGGTGGGCTTTCCATGGAGGAGAGGCCTTTCCCCTGGCTGATTGAAGCAGAGGGGGATGAAGGGCAGGAGATGGAGAGGGATGAACTCAGAGCAAAAACCAGCAGGTTTTTAATGGGGAGGGGAACCGCAGGCTTGAATGGTGGGGCTGGGGATGTGGGGAGTCCTCCCCTGCTCCCTTTGGCTTTGTACAGAGCAGGGCACAGAGCCAGACAGGGAAAGGCCGGTGCTGAACGGGCAGAATCACCCATAATGGTGACAGGATAGCTGTAGTGCAGGATTAGACCTGCTGCTTGCTTTTCCACCTAACGTGGCCAAAACTGGTGAATTCAGGCAGCCTTTGTCTGCTTTGCCCACCCCTTTCCCCCATGCAGCACATTCCCAAAGGCATTCAGGATGATGGCTGTGGATGACGCTCCCTGGGTACCACATCGGGTGCTGGCACTGCCACCACAGCCTGGCTGGAGGAGCCCAGCCTGCCGGGTACCTGCTCAGAGAGGACTTCTGTGGGCAGCAGGGAAAACCTCCAGAGCCAGCAGCTCTGCTTCCAATCTGGAGCCGCTTGGCTTTTCTACCCTGCTCCAATGTGGAATTTCACGTCCTTTTGTACAAGAGAGAAACAACCTGTTTAGGATTAATTTAGGATCAGCCTTAACAGCCATTAGCTAAAGAAAACCAAACGGGGAAATGAGCTGCCTGTCAGAAGGGGAAGAAATGTGGGACTCGGTGCTGCATTTATTGTGGAGGGTGTTAAGGCAGGATTTAGTGTGATTTACTGTCCTCTGCAGTGATACCTTCCAACACCAGGAGCTGGCAAGCTCCTTTGCATGCAGTCAGATACGCTTCTCTATGCACTAATTATTGACGTGTCCAGTAGCCCTGCTCTTGCAGCTGGGTTTGTCAGCATTCCCATTATAAAGCTCTGTCTTTAGGGTTTATTGCTCAGTTATAAACATTTGCTCCAGACGGAAACTTGATCTACAGCCGTCAACCGGAGCTGCAGTGCTCTGAGAGAGGGGAGGAAGGAAAAGGTTTGGCTGTTCGAGGCAAGTGTCAAACACAAGGTCTTTGGCTCGTTAGGTTTTCACTCTTACAGCCAACACAGTGATGCTGTCCCAGAGCCACATCGATGGGACTTCAGAATACCCTAGAATAGAAAGTGAAAAAGCTCCAAATCGAAAGAGGGAAGGTCTTTACTATGGAGATTTGCCACAGTGGCTGCTCAGCATCTGCCCAATGTTCAAAACACGTTCACTGATGCTCCTGTGAGATAGCAACGATCTCAGAAGGTATCATTTGCAAGCAGGAAAGCAGGGACCTTTAGCAAGGTGCCAAAGAAACTTCCAGATGAATAAACCCTCCATACACACGTGCATTAACACAAGCACAACGCAAAGAAGAAGCTGTGAAGGGTGAATTCTTCTTGCCTGTTTTGGGTTATTTTGCATCTTTGTGTTGATACCTGCCCCCATGCAGGCGCTGTGCAAAGCAGAGGTGATTCCAAGGGTGTGAATAACTCATACCCAGGAGATCCTCCAAGCCTGTGTATTCAGGGTCTGTTCTATGCCATGTCCCATACCTTTGCTCTGCTCTTCCTCAGGGCTGCCAACTCAAAGAGTGCTCTGCTGGGGATGCTCAGAGTCCTTAGCAGGGACCTGTGGGCAGCAGAAATCAAAGGGGACCTGCCCCATCTCTCCATCATGGGACCCAGGGTGGGATTCAGGAATCACTGCAGGGCCCAACACAGCCTTTTGAAGAGCCTGTGCCCTCTGGCTTCCAGCTAGGAGCCCTGTGAGCTTGGGGAGGATCAAGTGCAGATACTGCTGCTCCTCGTTGCTTCAAGCCTTTAGTAAGCAGTGCAGAGTGAGTCACCCTGCTGGGCATGGCTGTCTCACCCAGCAGCGCGTTGTCCTGGGCTGTCCCTAGGAACACTTGGAAGCTAAGACAATGTTACTCATTACAGAAGGGTTATGGCATCTGCTCGAGCGGATCTTACGCCTAAAATAAAGGGTGGACCCTGGTCAATGCTTGGAGAAGTTGACGCACAAAAGGGGGAAGGTAAAGATGGTGCTTTCAGTGCAGCTCCCTCTGCAGCTCCCTGCCTCCTGCCCGTTGCCAGGCACTGGTTTGGGCTTTGTGTAAACCACATGGTTATGGACAAATAGCCACCATGTAGAGAGTTTAGAAGATGCTGGCACTGACTCTGAAGCATCCCTCTAAAAGCATGAGGATTACTTCCACAGGAGAAAGCCAGAGGCAATGGGGCAAGGAAGGAGTTAGGGGCAAGCTTTCTGCCTGAGATTCCCAGGAGAGGGAAAGTGAACAAGAAGCAGCAGCCTCCTTGCCAGCTGCAGAGTCCAAGAGCAGGGGTAGCTCAGCAAAGCAGGGAGAAGGCATACAACATCCTCATGTGCTGAGGTTGATGCTCTTACACGATAAGGAAGGGAGGATGTGGCACCCCTCTCACTGCATCCCTTGGGTGGGAGTGAGCCCTGACCCTGCAGACCGGGAACATGCAACCTGCTTTTGCTATCTGGGTTCTTGGAGGAGCTGAAGGGAAGCAAAACCCCTCCCCAGGACACTGATAGCATGCCCAGAGGCTGGCCAGCAGCTTGCCACCCAGCCATGCACCTATCAGGGTACCATACCTGCATTGGCAGAGCCCCATGGCCATGGGCATTGCATCGGCCCCACAAGAGCAAGGAATGAGGGTCAGTCAGGCATGCAGAGGGACCCACACGGTGCTGCAGCCACTTGAGAAGTGGGCAGACACCAATCCCTGTAAATGGCTTGTACAGAGAGACAGTGGGACAAGGTCCAGCACGGCTCCATGTGTCCGATGGCATGTGTCCTGGAAACACCAGCTTCCTGTCTGAGCCCACAGTGCAGGGGGCATGAGAAGGGATGGGGGCCTTCATCTCCCCTGTGGCCAGGGCACTTCTGCCTCCTCTATGGGGGACCAGCACACTGGGGCTACTCCTGTGTTCCCCTATGCACCCATGTGAAGCTGGGCTCCATTCCACATCCCATCGGAGAAGGGAAGGGCAGCTGACAACAGCAGCAGGAGGAAAGCTCCCGTGCTGCTCAGGTGTGACGAGGGGCAGGTATCCCAGGCCAGCCCCACCGCAGTCACGCTGCTTTCCTGAGCGTGAGCATTTCCTCCTGCTGCAGAGCCAGAGATGGAAAAACATCCAGGCTTTGAAGCCCTTTGCTCAGTGCTTTCCCCGCTCCAGAGGATAATAAGCTGCTTTTAATATCTGACATGTTTATTAACAGATGCAGTTGTGACAGCCGATGACTTCATGTGCCAGTTACCACTGAAATGTTAGTAATAACTTGGAATTAACTGTCATAAATAAAGTAGACTACAAAGGCAACTAGATGGTGTGTCATTCTGCAGTAATTCACCGAGACCCCGTTGGCTCTGCGAGCAACACTGGAAGGTCCTTTGTGGAGCTCCAGTCCGGGTTTTGCAACAGTCACAATATTTTGGCTGGATATTGTCTTAGGAGGTGGTACTAGTGGGGTGGAATTCCCTCATGCAGGAGTTTGCACTAGATGCCTTTACAAAGCTGGATACTCGGGTAATAATAATAATAAAAAGCCCCTACCCGGTGGATGGGGATGGAGTCTACGGCATTGAGACCAGGATTTATTAATGTGCAAATCGCCCTGATATGATCACATACTTTCTGCTTTGCATACGCAGGGAGCAGCGTGGGCTGATGGAGTAGGAACTAGCCTGGGCGATCTTTACGAGCTGAAATCCTGCACATCACTGAAGGGTTTGTTTCTCTGCGAAGCTGTTAGAAACCTGCTTTAGGAAAGCAAGTGAACCAAAGCCCCGGCCCCAAACGCACCAGACCGCTCCATGAACTCGCCATGCATCGATTCCTCATTGTTTTTGACAGAAACGTGCGTGTAACTTTATCTGGAGGAGCCGAGGATTTTTGTAGTGGGGCTTGTAGTGGTTTAAACCTGAGGCATCCGTAGAGCCTTTTCAGCAGTGATGAGGGAGTGACAAGTCGGAGGTAAGGGTTTCCGAATGCGGGTTTGTTTAGATGAAGCTTTTGCAATGCGGGCTGCTAATGAGGAGCGCCAGCCTTGTCAGCATCCGACTTGCGGGTTTGCCTTGTGCAATGTGGGTAACGAGTCCAGACAATGAGAGCTGGGAGGAATCACAGCGCGATCTGTCGCGATCCCAGTCTCTCCCTACCCCCCCCCCCTACGCTCCCCCCCCCAAGGTGTGCGGGGGGCTTTGCGGGAGGCTGGGCTGCTGCACGCTGGCCCCTGCCGCTCTTCTGCCTTCCCGGAGCGGGGAAGGGGGCACGGGGAGCGGGTGGCACCATTGATCCGCTCGCTGGAGCTCGCTGCTGGTCCTGGATCAGCCCCAGTGCCCTGCCGGCTTCCCCGCTGGCTGCCAGAGACGGGAGCGTGCCCGTAGCTGAGCAATGAGGGGACGAGGCGGTTGAGCAGGCTCAGCATCGCTGCGGCTGCGCCCGCAGAGGACGGCACCCATGGGGGCACGGCAGGCACCCGGAGAGCGCGGGGTGAGTACGGACTCCCATGGGGGATCAGTGGGGAAAGGGTTTAACAGCGATCCTGGTGGTGATGAGAGCTCCGTGTTAACACCGCACCTTGATGCTGCTGGACCGCGGTGTGCTGCTGAGCCTGTGGGTCAGCGAGGGAGCGGGGCATCCCGCAGGGCGCTCCCGCAGCCAGGCGGGGATGCGGCTCCCTGACAAGGGCTGGGGGCAAGGTGATGTTTCAGCCTCTGTCCTCTTGATGCTCTGAGCCAAGGTGCTGCGAGGTGTGGGTGCAGGCAGCTGGGGAAGGGGCACACCTGCACTGATGGGGTTTCTTGTAGGTGTTTCCTTGAATGGCCCTGATGGATGAGGGGGTACCCAGGTGATGCGCTTTGGGTTTGGAGGGGTGCCTTCCAGTAAAAGGCATTAAAACAGGGCAATACCAGCCAAAGCAAACATTGCTCAGCATGGCAGGCCTGGAGCCTTCACACTCCCAAATGGGGCTTGGTGAGTACCAGTGCAAAACCCTTGTTACCTGGAGGTCTCTGAACCTGGGGCAGTGCTTACACCCTGCTCTGGTGGCCAGGTTTATGCTGAGATCCCACAGGAATCCCGTGAAACATCAGCCTGGAGTGTTCTCCAGCGGGAGTGACTTTGCCCAAAGTCCATCCATGGCCCTGGAGCACCCGATCCCCACTGCAGGGCCAGGGCCGTGGGTTTGGGTGGGAGCAGGACAGAATTCCCAGCGGGCCTGGAAACCACCCTGGGAAAAAGGCTCCTTTCAGCTGGATCAGCTCCGCAGCCGCTGCGAGAGCAGCAGCACCACCCTGAGGGACACAGCAGGGAGAGAGCCGGGGGTGCAGGGGCACGGATGTGACCCCCTGAGCACAGGCAAAGGCAGGGCATAAACCTTGCATTGCCATCACCTGAGCTTGACTTGAGCTGGCAGAGCACCTCTGCTCTATGGGGCTGTGAGGCTGCAGGGAACTGGGGTCAGGTCATCCCTGGGCTGTGGGCATAGTGGGGACCATGCAGCCAAGGGAGGAAGGGGATGGAAGGCAGAGACACCTTCCCCAGAGACAACCTGTGCTCTGCCTGGGGAGGGAAGTGCTGTCTTTGACTGAGACCCCCCCCTCTGCAGTCCTGAGTTCAGCTCCCAACACAAGAGGGATGTGGAGCTGCTTGAGTGAGTTCAGAGGAGGCCATGGAGATGCTCCAAGGGCTGGAGCAGCTCTGCTCTGGAAACAGGCTGAGGGAGCTGGGCTGGGTCAGCCTGGAGAAGGCTCAGAAGAGACCTTACAACAGCCTTCCAATAGCTAAAGGGGGGCTACGGGAAACCTGGAGAGGGGCTTGGGACAGGGGCCTGTAGGGACAGGCCAAGGGGAATGGCTTGAACCTGCCCGAGGGGAGACTGAGCTGAGCTCTTAGGCAGAAGCTCTTCCCTGTGAGGGTGCTGAGGCGCTGGCACAGGGTGCCCAGAGAAGCTGTGGCTGCCCCATCCCTGGCAGTGCTCAAGGCCAGGTTGGACACAGGGGCTTGGAGCAAGCTGCTCCAGTGGAAGGGGTCCCTGCCCGTGCAGGGGTTGGAGCTGGAGGAGCTTTAAGGTCCCTTCCAACACAAATCAGGCTGGGATCCTATGGTTCTGTGAGCACATACCAGCCTTCCAGCCATACCCAACACCACCTGCCTCTGAGGATCATCCTCTGGGATTGCAGCCGGGTGCTGTGGACCAGCTGCAGGATGCCCTTCATGGCAAACCACCCTGAGCGATGCCAGAGCTCAGAGCTTGCTCCCTCTGACCTGGCTGCTGTCACCCCTCAAAGAGGCAGAGCTTGAGCTTGTGCCCCATGCCCAAAGCTGAGGCTCCCGGTTATTTGTCCCACTTGTGTTTGCTCCTGCTGCTGAAACCAGTGCTCCTGGCTCTGCGGGGCTCAGGCTTCCCAGTGACGTTCACCGGGAATCCCTGCAGGAAGCTCACACTTGGCAAATGCTTCCTTTGCACATGGCCAAGCAGAAGGCCCCGGGGGCTGTTTAGGGTCTTGGACTCTGCTTTTGCCTGGAGAAGGGGCTTAGCACAGCAGCTTGAGGCTGCTCCTGCAAGCCCTGGGAATGTGCTTTCAGAAAGGCTGCATTTAGAGATGTGGAAGGTTGCTGCAAGCCCTTCATTTATACTGGAAAAAGAGGGGAATTGGGTATTGAGCTGAACGGGTGCACACTCCAATGGGATGAGAGCCTTAGCAGCCCTGGCTGTGCTGCATCAGACCCTCCTGCTGGCACACTCAGTGTTTCCAGGACTGGGAGCTGTACTCTGATACGGTGTGCATCCACTCTGCACTGCTGAGCACATCCCTGCATGGCAATAGGGCTTTTAGGGTTGGCAAAGAGCCCCTTTGACAGAAGAGCAAGGTTTTCAGTGATGCTCTGAAATGGACCGGTTTGCAGTTCCTGGTCTGAAATTCGCTTTGGTTCCTGCTGGTTTAGTGCATTTTGTCCCTGGCACTGAACCTTGGAGGCTTAAACCTGCTTCATGTTGTACCTCATAGGAATAGGTTTGCTTTATCAGTGACTGCACCTAAATCCCCGGGCAGCTTCTGTCTGTGGCACTGGAGCTGTTCCTGCTGGGATGACTCCAGTGCCTGCTCCGGGGCTTCGCTGCTTCCTTCTCCTCCAGCCCAGCATGCAGCCTCTGTGCTCCAGCAAGAGGGTAATGGAAATCCCCCAGTAAAAGGTTTCCTGATGTTTTACAATGCTGGAGCACAAGCGCTCCCGGGGAGAGGCCTGTGGCACTGCTAATCACAGCATTACTCGGAGCAGCTACTGTGCCGGGCACTGCACAGGGAGCGGAGCAAGGAGCAGGGGTGCTCCTATAGCAGAACCCTGGAGCGTCCCCATGCTCCAGGCTGGAACAGAGGGGTGGCCACAGGCAGGAGCCTCTCCTCAGTGTATTCCCCATTAGCGGCTCCCAGCACGGCTCCGCAGATCAGGGAATGCAGTGCAGAAGCTGGTGGAAGGAGTCAGACCTCAACAATGCTGCGGAGAACTGTGCTGCCAGATTGGCTTTTATGATTTCATTTCTCCCCATGCAGTCGATGGGCTGGGGATCCTGCAGAACTTGGCGCTCGGGGAGGGGCTCAAATGAAGACCTTCTGCTTCGGAAATGTGACTTAATGCAGCCTGCTTTTATTGCTTCAAGGATTAAGCAGAACAAAGTGGCTCTGCCCGTGCATGTGCAGAGATGTTTGCCTCCTGGAGAAGTGTGAGACACCCTGTGGCAGGCGCAATGACCGAGCCCTGCGTGCATGGGACCTGCTTCCATCCATGCAGGGTTTCACATGCTCCTACAGCGCTGTCTGTGCCTTGACAACAGGGACAAGTCCTCAGTGACAGGGTTTAGCCCTGGACTTGATCATCTTAAAAGTGTTTTCCAACCTGGTTGATTCTATGATTCTATGAAACACTGCTTGGAATGACAGCAGGAAGGGGAGACTTACTGTAGTGATAGGACAAGGGGTAATGGGTTAAAACTTAAACAGGGGAAGTTTAGATTGGATATAAGGAGGAAATTCTTTCCTGTGAGGGTGGTGAGGCACTGGAATGGGTGCCCAGGGAGGTTGTGAATGCTCCATCCCTGGCAGTGTTCAAGGCCAGGTTGGACGAGGCCTTGGGTGATATGGTTTAGAGCGAGGTGTCCCTGCCCATGGCAGGAGGGTTGGAGCTTGATGATCTTAAGGTCCTTTCCAACCCGAACTATTCTATGATTCTATGACTTTCCCAAAGAGAATTCCCAACCCTGCTCCCTGCAGGTCTGCACTGCCTTCCTCCCAGTGCAGAGCAGACAGGGAGCTGCAGGCATGGGGGTCACCCAGAGCAGGCAGTGCAGAGACATTGTGTTCAGGAAGCACAAGCATTGGGTCCATCTTCGTGTGCATGGAAATAGGAATAACTGTGCCACAGGGCTGAATGAGGTGTGGGTTTGGTACTGCTGGTCCTTCAGCATCCCAGCTTGCAGCTCCTGTGCAGCCCTGACCCAGTGGGGTTTTGTGCTGAGGAGCCACCCATCAGTGCTCACCTCTTTGTCCCTTTCCCTTGCTGCTGCCCAGTGAAGCCAGCTCTGGAGATGTTCCAACTGGATGAGGCTCCTGCTCTGCACACCCTGAGGCTGGTTCCTGACACCCCTGTCTCCTGGTGCTGGGGAACAAGGGAGGATGCGCACTGGGGAGCCCGCTGGCTCCGCTCCCTCGCCGGGCTGGGAGCTGCACAGGCACACGTGGGGCTGCGAGCTTCAGATCCCTCGGGGAAGCTTTGCCTGCCGGAGGCTTTTGCCAAGGGAGGGCAAGGCACACAGAGAGATAAACGGGAGCGTGTGTGGGCTCCTGCTTGTCTGAAAGATGCCTCCTCTCCTGCTGGCTGCGTCCCACCTCCGAGGCTCAGCCGTGCTGGAGGAGCAGCTCGGATGCTCTCCAGGGCAGGGCTGGATCGTGGAGGGTGCAGCGGTGCCTCCTGATCCCTGCACCAGCATCGCTGCTGGCCAAGGGGTTTGGTGGGCACTGGGGGGCTGAGCCACCCTCAGTGGGATGGCTGGCCCTGGTGCTGGTCCCCTCCTGCCCCTGCATGGTCTCCTTTACCTCCCCTATGGTACTCACTCGGATTTGTCCCCCTGCTCTGGCTGGCTCACTGTGCCTGGAGTGAGGACCGCTGTGCGCCCCACAGACCCCATCCTCATGCTCCTCTTCTCCACAGCAGCCCACTCTCATTTCCTCCTCCTCTTCCTCCTCCCGCTCCCCTCCTTGCACCTCTGATACAGATCCAGGTGCCATTGTCATTATCTGAGGAGCTCGATAGAAGCTTAAACAAAGGCAGGTTGGGGAATCTGCTGGTTGCTGCCACAACAACCAACCTCCCTGCAGCCTTTCCTGGGGCCGAGATAGGGCTGCAACCAAACCAACCCCGGTGAAACCCTGCAAAACCCCATCTCCTGCAGGCAAAGACACTTCTGAGACCTGTCCTTGCTTATTCAAGACATGCAAGATACCCCTCAATAGGGGAAATTCAAGTCCTCTACCCAGCCCCAGTCCCTGTAAGCCCCAATCCCCCTGTGCTCAGAGCTGATGTCCAGCTGCTGTTGGCAGCAGGCCTGGCACTTCCTGGGGGTTCATTACTGCTGCTGCTGCAATCAGGCTTGGTCCTGCCTCCAGCCCTCACACAAGCATCTGGTCCTTCTCTCCCAGATGCAGGAAAGCTTTGGAGAGCCCGTTTACATTATGGCTAGCCTGATACCTTCAGCAAGAGGCAATATATCAGCAATTTAGTTATTGAGGATTAGGTCTTGAATATCCTGGGGATACAACGTTGGTCTTTCTCACCTTGTGTGTAGGAGGACTAATGGTAAATTATCTGGATGGTTTACATTTTCTGGCTTGCATTGGAGCTCCCAAGGACCAATTTATCCTGATGGAACTGCAAACAAGGCTTACTGTCATCTCGGATGCAGGGGCCAGGTCTCTCCAGTAATGAACTCAGAGCAGCTCAGGTTATCCCAAATCCTTCCTGTCGATGGGATAATGGCATAAATCCTGCTAATGTTTAGACTGGAAATTGTTTGCAGCAACCTGAGCTTGACCGATGGCTGCACCAGCTGAAAGAGGCATAATCTGTGTCCTGAGGTGAGGGTGGGAAGAGCTGGAAGCCTGGCCCTTGTGCTGCAGCCTCCGCTGGTGGGCACGCCGCAGACACTGAGTGTTGGAACACGGGGATCGTGCTATAGGCAGCATCCAGGATGCTGGGAGCTTTCCTGTGCTGAGCGGGCATCTGTGGCTGTCTTGGGGCTAGAAAGCAAGGAAACAAGGAGGGAAAAGCGGGTGCTTGCCTGGTTTGTGTTGAGCCTCCATGTTTCCCATGGCACCTCCCTGCCCTTGCACTGAGCGAGCCCCAAAAGATGGGGTCTGTGGAGGCAGCACAAGCTGCACGCTGGCTCTTGGCAGGCTGGGGCTGTGTTTGCTCCATCAGGATATCCCTGCTGCTGTCCCCACACCGAGGAGACTCTGCCCTGTGTGTGTTGTGTCAACACCCGGAGCAGGCTCAGCCTGTGCTGCCTCTGACTGCGCTTCACCTGTAAAGCCGCAGTAATTAAAGGCCAGGGGCAGCACCGTGCTCCCTCCAGAGCTCGGCACTCATTTAGGGACCGTTTGGGCCGTGCTGTGCTGACGCTGCTCTGCGCACACCGGGTAGCACCCACGTGGCCCCCTGTGGCTGTGCCACGCTGTGCATTGCTATGCTGTGCCATGCCATCCATCCGCAACATCCTTCCTCTCCTGGATGCTTCACCCCAGGTCCCTGCACATCAGCAGCGCGCGGAGGGAGGCTGTGGGACTGGGGTGGGTTAGGGTTAGGGTTAGGGGTTAGGGCTCTGCTCAATGCTCCCAACAGCCCAGCTCAAGTATTTGCCAGTGTTTATAAAGCAGCTTGCAGCAAACAGCCCTGAAGTGCAGAACGAGTCCATGCTTACACAGGCAGTGCTGTGCTCCTGCCCCAGCAGTGCACCACAATCACTGCAGGGACACAGAGAGGTCAAAGGCATCGGGGGCACACGTGAGCCAAAGCTGCCACAAGGTGCCCGCTCCGGGTCACATCTTGGCATCGAAGCACGTGCTGCTGCAAGGCTCAGTGGTACCCGGTCACATCCCCCTTCAGCAGCTGCTGCGGGCAGCCCTCTCTGCTCAGGTATTTTGCTGCTGTGGCCATAGCCACCTCACAGACGGTGGCCCTTCAGCCACCCATGGTGGGCACGGAAAGGGACTGGAACCCCAGGGCCCGTGTCTGTCATAGAGACGGGCTGCAGCCGGGCATCATTCCAGCACCATCACTGTCGGCCGTTTGAGGCATCGGCGACTGCACAGTTATTATAAAGGGATTATACCCATTTTCTGTTTCATTTGAGTTCACAGAGTGAATGTTGTCGCCTGTATTCCCACACAACGGCAGCCGTTGGCAGGGCTTCCCCCTGCCAGCTGCAGAGAGGAGCATGGCTCTGCTTGGCAGTGCCAGAGCTCTTGGTGCAGCAATGATGTTGCCTTTCCTTCCCACCAGCCACAGAGCATCACACTGCTCCGCACTGGGCCTGCCTGCACTGCCTCTGCCCTGGAGCAGGAGCAAGGAATCGGATGCTCCAGGGCGAGGACAGGGCACACGCTGGCTCCCATGCAGGCTGTGCCTGCAGCCCTGCTTGCCATCCAGCATCTTGCTGCCGCGCTGGGCTTCCCTTTGCACTCACGCAAAGCACTTGGGCATCTCACCCTGTGCAGGCAGCGCTGACCCTGCCCTGCCGCTCCGGGGCAATGGGAGCTGGGAGGTTTGGAAATTCCCTCCGAGCAGAGACGCGCAGTTTTGGGCAGCTCGCGGGACGATCCCGCCCTGTCCCCAGACAGCCCCGGCTCCGGCGTTGGGGCTGCAGCTCGCTTTCTGCTCGGCTCGACGACCAGCCCCAGAGGTGCCCACTTGATGGGAAACATCTTGTGTGCTTGGCAGCGCGCAGAGGCCATCTGCTCCTCGAGGAGGGGCGGCCGAGGGGGGACTGGCACTCTTCTAAACAACTTCCAGCTCGAACCGTACGCTGCATCGGCCGATGGCAAAGCCGTGTCGGGCGCTGCGGCGCGCGCTCGGTTATTGACTTATGGATGAGGTTGGGGGGCGGTTCGCCCCACTCCGGGGGCCGCCGTCTGCCTGCACCCTCTATGTGCGGCTCCCCTGGTTCACCCCACAGCTTCCGTGCTTGCCCGCTGCGGTGCCGAGCCCAACCATTCCGGGAACGATGTCGGCTGTTGAGTTAATCTGTTCTCCTCTTCCTTTGCAGTCCCTGCGAGCGCACTTGGAAACTGCACGCAGCTAACGCTCGCTGCCAGAGCCCCCCGATGGGACTAGAGCCAGGCTCCTGCGCTCCTTACGGGGATGAAGGTAGAGCCATGTTACCTGCTACCTAAGCTCGCTGTCGCTGGCGCCGTTTGTGGATGTGGTCCTGTACCAGGCTTCGCGCACAGACTCTCAGCTCTGATCCCGCCCGAGACGTTTTAGCAGCGGCAGACAGAGATCCCCAGCTGTGGAGCGGGCTCCTCCGACCACCCTGCGACGGAGGGGCTGCAGCGCTGGAGAGTTACTATGCAGCTTGGACTGTTTGTGGTGGTGGTTTTTCTAAGCTCCATGGATCTAACGGGCAGCAGCAAAGTGGCGAAGGGCAAGAGGCAAAGACGAAGTACGTATGAAACGCTTTCCTTCCCTACTTCTTCTCGTGGTGCTCTGCGCTTCGGGCACACGGGGAATGCGTTTTACCAACACAGAGAGCCAGGGGTGCCCTGGGAGTCCTTGGAGCAGCCCTAAATCACACTCCCATTCAGAGATGTGCGTTCACTGCCCCACATTAGACCTGACACAGGCCAAGGGGTGGCCCGGTGCAACCCGAGGTGCATGGGGGTTTAAGCACCCCTCCAGGCTGGATGATGCTCGGCTGGTCCCAGCTTGGGGCTCCACGTAGGGCAACCAGGCTGCGCCGGCTCAAGAGCAGCGGCACGGGTTTGCCCTCGTTTATGTAAGCTCGCTTGTAGAACTGTTTTACATTAAAACTGGTTTAAATTCAATTATATAAAAATGATTTTCTATTAAAACTGGGACTGCTGAGCCCTGTGAGAACAAGGAAAACTTGACGTCATGCCTAATGCTATAAAGTGCAATTTTCAGCGAGGGCCCGGTTTCTACCTTTGCCATAGAGGCAGATCTTGGCTCCACGGCCCAGCGCTGCAGGAGGAATGGGGCCGCATCCCCTGGGAATCACCCCACATGAGGGGCCAGGGCCCAGAATCCCAAGGGGCCATCCCAGAGCAGGCCCAGCAAACCTCCTTGCACTGAGGATCCACTGGGATGGGGACCCCCTTTGCTTTCTGTGTCACTTCCCATGCCCGAGGACCCAGTGATGGGGCTGGGACAGGCAGCAGGGGAGCTGCTGGGGTCTCGGGTCAGTGGAGGGGGAGAGGAAAGTTTTGCTACCTCTTGGTCTGGCATGTGAACGCTGTGATGCTCCGCGCTCGCTTTGGAGGGGTAGGAAATGTGGCATTTAAAAGAATACATCTTTTTAAATCCACAGCTTTTCTATAAACAAGGACACTGCTTGCATAATAAACTAATAAAAATAACCTGCATTCTAGCCTGCAAAGAATGCTATTGGTTTCAAAACAAGCAGCATTTTTATATGATAATTAAAAGCAGAAAACTCTCTCAAGACATGGGATTGAGTATTTTTCTTGGACTGGATTTAGGAGCTGAGAACACATCTCTATTTTGGGGGCAGTGAAATCTCCTGCACTGCCAGATATAGTTAACATAAGCAGGGTCACAGCGAGATCTAGCTCAGGACGCGGCCTGGCTCGAAGCACAGCACAGTTTTGCTCCAGCACCCCTTGGCTCTGGTCCCCGCTTGTCCTGCACCGTGCCCATGGCTCAGCTGGGGTGGCACCGCCTGCTCCAAGAGGGGACATGGCAGGGATGCACTGGTCCACCCGGACCCATGTCCCCTATGGGTGTCTGCGTGGTGGGAGACAGAGCTGGGACCCTCTTGAGCTGGTGGCTGCTTCTGGGTGCTGCTGCTGCTGATGGGACCCTCACACCTGCGCTTGATGCTGGTGTCTGTGGGCATCAGCAGCGGTGCTGGGAGCGCATCAGGTCCTTGGCCTGCCTCGGTCCCTGCCCTTCCTGAGGGTGTTTTGGGGTCAACCCCAATGCATGCAGAGCCCAGCCATGCACACAGACACTAATCACCCCCTCTCCTCTTGCCTTTCCAGTTAGCACCGAGCTGAGTCAGGGCTGTGCCAGAGGCTGCGACCTGTGCTCCGAGTTCAATGGGTGCCTGAGATGCTCCCCCAAACTCTTCATCCTTCTGGAGAGGAATGATATCCGGCAAATCGGGATCTGCCTTCCATCTTGTCCGCTGGGGTACTTTGGCCTTCGCAATACAGACATGAACAAGTGCATCAGTGAGTATGGGAGGGAATGGGTGCAATGGGGGAGGGTGGCGTTAATTTGAGGGGCCACCTCCAGCGAGGTGAGATGCTCTGCCTGTATCAAAGGCAGAAGGCACCAATTAACCCAGGGAACAACCCCACAATTTATGCTGTCAGACTGACCCCCTCCTTCTCTATGGGGGAGAAGGGGAAGATGCTTTCAGCTTTTAAGGTACTGCTCGCACAATTACCTTTTCCACCTCCTCTGCCCGTTCCTCATAGCCAAGCAACTCTCTGAACCACAGTCCTTGGCCTGGGGCTGCCTCTTTCAGCCAGAGCAACAGAAAGAAGCTGGACATGGAAAAATAGGATCACTTCCCTTCAGTTTCACACAAACCACCCTCATAGCCAGATTTCCATCTAACCTCCATTCTTTGCAGCCCATATTGTAGCTTCAGCTGGAGCTGTTGGCATGGGACTTCATTCTTTGCACTGTCCCGCTCTGGCTGAGTGTTGCTCAAGCTGAACATCAGCCCAAACCTTTTCCACCCTGATCCTGATTTGGATCTGGCAGCGGCTGCTGCTGCCTATGGGAGCCGCAGCACAGTAGCTCTGTCCTGTACCAGGGAGGGATGCAAAGACACAGCCAGGCCTGGCAGGACATTCAGAGACTTGCCCTGGCTGTTGGCAGAGCCCTTGGGGCCAGGAATGAACTCTGCTTCGCAGTCGAGAGCTTCCTGAGCTGTTTGTTCACATCAGGCTTCATGATGCCTTTGTGGTTGGTTGTTTTTCCCCCACAGAATGCAAAATTGAGAACTGTGAGTCCTGTTTCAGTCGAAACTTTTGCACAAAATGTAAGGAAGGTTTGTATTTGCACAAAGGGAGATGCTACGTCACATGCCCCGAAGGCTACTCTGCTGCCAACGGCACCATGGAGTGCAGCAGTCCTGGTAAGCGATGCTTGGGCATCTGAATTGCTGGAGTGTGGGTTAGGGGATAAATCAAACCCCTCAGAGACAGTGGCAAGGAAAGGGATGCTTGAAAACTTAGGAAGCTGCTGGGGAAATGCACATCTGGGGCTGTTCAGCCTGGAGAAGAGAAGGCTGCGTGGAGACCTCACAGCAGCCTTCCAGTATCTGAAGGGGGCCTATAGGGATGCTGGGGAGGGACTCTTCATTAGGGACTGTAGTGGTAGGACAAGGGGTAATGGGGTAAAACTTAAAAAGGGGAAGTTTAGATTGGATATAAGGAGGAAATTCTTTCCTGTGAGGGTGGTGAGGCACTGGAATGGGTTGCCCAGGGAGGTTGTGAATGCTCCATCCCTGGCAGTGTTCAAGGCCAGGCTGGATGAGGCCTTGGGTGACCTGGTTTAGTGTGAGGTGTCCCTGCCTATGGCAGGGGGGTTGGAACTGGATGATCTTAAGGTCCTTTCCAACCCTAGCTATTCTATGGTTCTATGATTCTATCTATCTGAGCCTAAAGCGAGGGGGAAGCTGAAGGGGAAGGGAAACAAGGGTCACCGCTGGCCTCTCTTGTTATCCGGCAGCACAATGTGAAATGAGCGAATGGGGGCCCTGGGGGCCCTGCTCCAAGAAGAGGAAGCTCTGTGGCTTCAAGAAGGGCAACGAAGACCGAACGCGGCGGATTCTGCAGGCTCCCTCCGGAGACGTGTCCCTGTGTCCTGCCACCACGGAGGTGCGGCGATGCACGGTGCAGAAGAGCCAGTGCCCCGAAGGTGAGCACACGTGGAGTCATAGAATGGTTTGGGTTGGAGAGGACCTTGAGATCATCCAGTTCCAGCCAAAGCTGGATGCCTGTGCGCTGCAGTGGTGGGAGTCATCTTCTCCTCTCCCAGAGTGCTTAGGTCTGGAATTTGAGTGTTTGGGGGATGAATGGTGGTTTGGTCACTCTCTTATGGGATGGACAAGATTTGCAGCTGGGTTGAGTGCTTACAGCAGTGACTAACACCACTGTGGCCAAGCTGTTGCTCTGATGCACACAGCAGCATTAGCTCAGGGGCTTGGTATGCACCCCGGAGAAGTGCAAGTGTTCACACTTCTGCTGGAGACTGACAATTACAAAGCTAAGTCCAGATTTGACCCTCCCTCCCCGTTTGTGTTTAAGCAGCAGCTCACAATGAAAAGCACAGACCAGCAGACAGGGCAGCACTCAAGTACCTCTGTGCATGCAGAGGGGAGCAGGACCTTTTGGCTATGGGCTAGCTGGGTTCTGCCGGAGAGCCTCATGGTGCCTCTTTGCTTTGCTGCAGGGAAAAGGAAGAAGAAGGAAGAGCAAGGAAAGCAAGATAATGCGAATGGGAACAGGAATCGGAAAGACACCAAAGACGCTAAGTCTGGCACCAAGAAGAGGAAGAGCAAACAGAGAGGGGCTGCGGTCCTCACCACGTCCGCTAGCCCTGCCCAGTAGCTGCCCCTTTATGTCACCTGATGGCAAGACTTCATTGCTGCTATGTATATGAAAGCTTTATTGAACCAGAGCACTGCTACACAACACATACACATGTCCAGAAAGACAGACATATACTCCCCGACTGATCCACAGACCCAACAGAAACCACATACACAATGCATAAGGAGGCTGCACACACCCACACCACCCCGGACCATGGAGATACGCTGCTGAGAAGAGGAGTGGGAGCACACACGGAGGGATGCTCATCTCCCCATGGCTCCACAGGCATGCTGCGGGGAGGAGAGGTGGAGCACGAGTCAGTGGAGGACCCAGAGACTTCATGACCAAAGGCCTCAACTCGAGACCGGGTGCAGCACAGCTGCAGCCACAGGGATGAGACTGGACCCATGTGGCCGCTCTCCCCAGCCTGGGACCCTGACTCACACGAAGGCAGTGGCCTCTTTCTCTTCCCCCTGCCCTTTATTTTGTGTTTTAAGCTGTATGACTTTATCATTGCGAATACATGTTAAACGGTTGTGGTCAGAGGTCAGTGGTATCTGCCCTGAATCTGCTTCAAGTTATTTCAAATTAAAAACAAACAAAAAACCAACCCCCAAAACCCCAAAATGACAACCAGCTTCCTGAGTGTGTGGTTCATGCCTTGGCCCCTATGGAGGCTGGTGTCCCACAGGACAGAGACTCACTTGTGGAAGGGAAACTCACCAAAGCTCTAAGAAAAGCCCAGATTACGTTGCCAGCTGCACTGCAGCCACCCATCAGCCATCCTGTGCCCACAGGACCCCAGCTGTGCTCCACGGAGCCCCTGAGGAATTCCCTCCCTGAAGGATGCTGTTAACATGCAGCAGCTTGGGAAAAGGAAAGGTTACAACAGGCTGTGGAAGTGCTGTGACTCCGCTCCTACACTCACAGCAGCAGGACTCCATCCCGGGCTAGGGACAACGCTTGTCCGTCTGTGCAGACATCACTCAGGCACGTAGCAGGAGGGGAGGCAGGCAGGAGGGGGAAAGCACAGTTTGGGCTCTGCAGAAGAGAAGCACACTGATAGGTTTAGTAGGAACTCCTGGTCTGCACGGCTGGAATTCCCTGGATTCAGCACAAAGCGCTCCTGACGGCAAGAGCTGACAACTGGGTCGAGGAACTGGGCTGAGGACCATGCGGGATGGAGGCTTAGTGAGACCTGTGTGCTTCTCTGCATGGAGAGCTCTACCCTCAGCAGTGTCATGAGGTGGCATCCTGCTCAGTTTCCCTTCTGTTGTAAAACGTGCTTCCTCCATATAAACGTGTGCAGCCGTTTCGTTCCTCTAGAGTTCAGCAGAAGCCCTCTGGTCCTGAGGGATGGAGCTGGGATGCGCGTGGGGTGGATCAGTGACGTGCTGCTGAAGCTCCTAGCTCCCCTGGTAAGGTGATGGGCAGGGAAAAGCTCACCCCAAAGCTAAACCTGGTGAATACCACCTCCGCTGGTGGTTCATGGCACCCACTGAGGACTCAGCACTGGCAGAGGACACCTGAACTCTGCCCCCTTCACCCCGGCTGGTTCAGCTCAGTGCAGGACGTGGGAGCTGCACAGTTGTTCCTGCTCCGGAGCTGTACCAAGCTCTCCGTGACTGCTCTGCTGGCAGCAGAACCTTTCAGCCCATCATCCACTTTGTGTTTAAGTAAACAAGAAGCCGTTATATCTTTTAAAGGGGATTCCATTTCAGCACAATGATAAACGACCAGCATTCCAAGCAGGGAGAGAAAGAGGTTCTTAAAAGTCATCCTTTTGAGTTGTTTATGGATCATGTTCAAACGATTCCTGAAAGCCTCCCAGCTGAAAGATCTGATCTCACTCGATTCTCCAGCCTCAGCTAGCCTGTGAGATGAGTATTCTGTTTGTGCCAGGGTGTTGCATGTAAGCAGAACCGTTTTTCCCTTCCGCTTTTGCAGCAATAATCAGTAACCCTTTCATGAACCTCAGCTTGCTAATTCATAAACAACTCCTCCCTCCCTCCTGCTGCAGTATCTCAATCCAGTTCTCAACAAGGATTAGGGGAAAGAGAGAGTGCATTAGGAAGGTTTGATACACAGAGGCTCTGTTAACCGACTGGATTCCCTTCCGTAACTCATGGCAATATTAGCACAATGATTTCAAAACGAAACTGCATGTGACAGATCAACACAACCTGTTCTATAGAACTCTCTAGAGTTTTCTAGATAAACTGACAGACCACTTTCTGTCGTGGCCTTTTCTCTTCTTTCTTCCCTTTTCATAGCAAAATGGGAAGAAGAAGGGCCAAAGGCAAAGGGAAGTTTAAAATGCGTGTTAAGAATATCCAAGATTTTTTCAGTATGGGTGATATTGAAATTAAATTGTTTTAGAAAAATTAGGAAGAAAAAAGGATTAAAAATAAATCCAATTTCTTGGTATGCAATCAGTTCAAGATTTGTGCTGGTTCACTTCTGAATCTAGAAACATTTTGCCTTTGACCAAGGTGATTTGCGCACTGAGCTCAACAGTCCAAGCCAGAGACTTCCTTACATAGGCTGGTGTCATCTCAACTCCCATGCACATGAATGCTCTCTTTCAGCCCATCAAACAAGATCTGTTGTGGTGTTCTCTCCATGGCATCACTGTAAAATACGCTTCTTTAAACAAATAAATAAATACATGGGTTTGCTGAACAAGCTTTGTTTGCTTTATTCACCCAAAACTGGAGGGAAACCCCAGCTCTAACCAAAACTCTCCAGAAAAAGAGAGCCTTTGGGGTAATTCATTGATGCAATGGGGGATAAAGGGCAAGGAATAAAATGTTAACAGCTTACAATCATGGGTTTGGAACTGTTTAATTTCTATCTCATTCATGGAGATTTAGGAGCTAAAGCAGACAAATTCCACCAAACACAGGTTGGTTGTATTATGTTCTTACCCTCTCTGTGTAATATAAATCTGTAGTTTTCATCAGCTACAGTCAAGTTAAATGGGTGCACGTATACTCCTCAAACAAGAATTCACCAGCTTTCTACCCCCATGGAGATGGAGGCAATGTATACACTTTTTAGTTCATGTTTATGTTAAAAAGATTTCTCACTCAGAAGAAATCTCTGCTTTGATTAAAGGAAACAGAGTAGGATAGTGAAACAGGTTACCCCTAATGCTACTATTTGGATTACATTGCCTGAGATCACTAAAAGGGAGATTTTACATGTATTTACAGATTGTATTAAGTCAATAGTGCTCACAGAGAGAGATGTTAGGTATAATCAGTTTAAAATCTCTATTAAAACTACAGAAATACCAGCTGTATTTAACCAGTCACCATAAATAAATCACACCAATGGCATTTATACACATAATATATTATACCCAACTGAATGCCAAACCATCGTTTAGATGGAGCTGCTTGCCAGCATCTTCATGATATTCGAAGAGCAGCAGGATCTTAGTGGGAAAACAGAGGCAATTGGGCAGATAATATATTGTTATTTACTACACAAGCTCAAATGCCTGGTTAGAACCTGGCATTTAGGCCAAAAGGCCATGTCAAATCCTGTGCCACACAAAGCCGATGTTCAGCTTTCCACAAAAGAAATCACTTTTCATGACTATTAAAATCAAATCACAAAACTAAGCATTTGTACATAAATGCTTTAGCTTCTATTGCTAGTAACCACTTCATTCCTGTCAGAAAGATCAGATTTCTCCTCCCTCCAGCTTCCCCCTGTTGCTTTCCATCACCATTTTGGGAAGTCCAGATCCAAGGCAACAGTATCTGGGATCACTTTGTTTTGGTCTGTTAAGGAGCCATCAAACCTGGAGCTTGTTGCCAAGGAGCCCTGCTTCAGCTCTTGTGAGCTTTGTCCCTGAAAACCCATTCCTGAGGAGCTGAGCTGGGAAAACTACTGTGGTGATAAACCATCTACTGTATCTTCTGGCTGTGGTTGGGATGATTTTGAAGGCTGGCTAAGAAACCCACTTCTGTCCTTGTGTTCTGCAGGGAATCACTGCAACAGGGAGAGTAAGATGGCTGATGTTGCCTTTACCCTGTTAAAACCAAGTAGCTCAATTCCGTGCTGAAAAAGTGCTCTGATTTCAAGTCCAGTCTTGTTCTGAAGTCTTGGAGATCTCCTTTTCCTTCATTTAATTGACAAAATCTGTAGATCATACAAGGAAGACAGCCCCTGCCAAAAATCAAACATCACTGGTTTTTAATAATACAATGGGAATAACCCCTTAGAACATATGTAATTATGGCAATGAGTCATTCCAATGGCATCACATAACCACATTCACTGGGATTTTGACAAGGAAGAGGCCACATAAAACTCAAAAGTGATTTCATTTCAGGCCAGTCATGCCAATGGAGCCGAGGCCGTGCGGCAGATCTGACAGGCTGGGCTTCCATCATCGACCCCTCTGTCTTGTCGGGTACACAGCAGGGACAAGATCCCACTGCAGGCAACTCAAAAAGAAGAAGAAAAGAGAAGTTAAAAACTGAAATGGGAGGATGCATCAATAGCAAAGGAAAGGCTCATGAGTCATAGAGCAGCAAAAAATGAGTAGAGTAGGATATCTGACTGGCATGTGAACAGATACACAAGTAAACAACCACAGTTAGAGAGATCCTGCAACTTAAATACTGACTCTTAGCCCCAGCAATGCAATTTGGGTCAGGAAAACCAGGGGAAGAGAGGGCCATGCAGCCGAAAGGATGCATTGATTCCAATCTGAATGCAATTCCCAGATGCTGTCAGGAGAATCTGTTCTTCTGACAGCAAATCCAGGCTCGCAGCCCACTCTGATCAGGACGAAAGGGCTCACCATGAGCAGGGTTGGGGACAGCGGTGCTGAGACGTCCCTGTTAAGCTTCCAATGTGGGAATTCAGCAAGTAACTCTGAGGCATTACCAATAGAAGTTCTCCACGACATAACCTCATGTCTGAAGCGAGCTATTTCTATTCTTTCACAGAAAAAGACAGCAGCTTTCTGGGTGCGCTCCAAGATTATCTTGCTAACAATAAAAAGGGTGTTTTCTTAAGGAAAAGGAAGAAAGAGTGGGGGAGAACAGAGCAAGGATTACTCAACTATTTAGTCTAAAAACTCTGAAAATCAAAAGCATCTTCTGACAGATTGATATCAACTCTAATAGAAAACACACTTGTCCTGGGAAAACTCTGCTACATGAGCCTCAAGTCTGATAGCTTCAACAATTATCTGCAATTTGGCATTAATTTCTTAGGCCCACATCAATGTGTGCTTTTTAAATGCCCAAGGCACAGATAATTCTAGTAAGAGAGAGAGAGAAAAAAACCCACCCAAAAGACATCATAGGCTTAACCAAAACAGGCTCAACATGAGACCTCCATCTTACAAAACATCTCCCAAGTCTCATTAAGAGGCTGTTGTATTATGCATTACCTAAAAGCAAAACGCTGAAAAGCATTAGAAGAACAAAATCTCAGCAGCTCTGTTATTGTTCTGGATTTAGAGGAGCATTAGCAGAACGGGGAGGAAATGGAACAAGCCGTGAAGGCTCTGCTGCTAATAAGGGTTTAGGAACCATGGGCCAGAGCTTTGATTTGGGGGACGAATCCTCAACGTGTTGAGCAGCTTAGCCCCACCCCAATCTCTGGTCTAAATTAACACCGTTTCAGTGGAGCTTTGTTAATTCCCCCTAGGTGAGGATCTTTCCAATCTCTATTAGAACCTGGCAGTAACAGCGATGGAGGCTCAGCCTTCAGATACTGCAGTGCCTGTGCAATTCTTTACATGCACACCCAAACAGCCATGTTATTCCTAAGTTTAAGAAGCCAGTAACCCAGCAATAACCCTGTGTGCCCACGAACACCCCAACGCTGCCCCATGTGAGTGTGCTCCCCCCAGCACCTTACACCCGCAAACCATCCTGTGACCGCCCTCATTCACCGCGCAAGGGAAGCGGCACCAACGCCGAGCTCCCAAATGATTCTTATTATGTTGCTGTGAACAAACATCATTCCACAAACAATGAGGGCTGCTCTGCCAGCACCCTCGCTATTACAGCATCCTCTGCCTTTGAACCGGCCTGCGGACCTCCCCCTGCCCTGGGCAGGAGCCCCGCACACACAGCAGCGGCCCAACCGATGGGGCCGCCTCCCACCGGGGCCTCGCGGCCTCTCCCTGCCGCACCCGAGGGCGGGTGGTGGCGGCCTGGAGCTGGGGAGGCCCCGGGAAGACCGGCGGGAGGAGCGGGGAACCCACCGGGGAAGCGGAGAGGGGGGCACCGGGCGGGGACCGGGGCTGGGCCACTCGCACGCGTTGCCATGGCGACCGGAAGGCGCACACGTGGTTGCGCCTGCGCAGGCGGACGGGGGAGTCAGCGGAAGTGCGTCATGGCGCTGAGCGCCGCACGCCGGAATTGGCTTTGCCACCGCTTCCTGGCCGGTGTGGTGCGTGTGGCGGTGCGGCCGCTCGGTTCTTCTCGTCCGTGGTGAGCGCGGCCCCGCTTGCACCATGGTGAAGCCACGCTACAAGGGGCGCAGCACCATCAACCCCTCCCGCGCCAGCACCAACCCCGGTACGTAGGGGAGGGACACGGACACGCAGACCGGGCTGTGCCAGGCCCCGCTGGACCGGGCCTGACCCGGCGCTGTTTTGTCTCCGCAGATCGCGTGGGGGGAGAGGGAGGAAACAACATGCGGGACCGGGCCACCATCCGGCGCCTCAACATGTACCGGCAGAAAGAACGGAGGTGAGCGCGCCTCGGCCCTGGCCTGGTGCCGGGAGCACGGCAGCGAGCAGGAGCCGGGCGGTGCGGTGTCAGTACCGCTGCCGGCCGGTGCGGTGTCAGTACCGCTGCCGCCCGCGCCGTGCGGACACCGGGGCCTCGCTACTCAAAGAGCGCGTTTCTCAGCTTGCGCTCCGGCTGTGGCAGGACAAAGCACTGCTCCAGTGGAAGGTGCCCTTGCCCGTGGCAGAGGGTTGGAACTGGATGAGCTTTAAGCTCCCTTCCAACCCAAACCACTCTGTGATGTTTTCTGTCACACCATGAGCTGAGAAGCCTTGTCCTATGCTGTGTTGCGTGTCAGGGAATACAGCTGGAAAACACATGGTGCAGAACATCTGGTGTGATCTCAACGTAGGGTCGTGAACCCCGAAATGCCCAGAATTCCTTCATTTCCCACAACAAAACCCAAAAGTTCACCTCAGAATGTCCAAAAAGCCCGGCTTCCAACTGGTTCCTTTGCTGCGAGATGTCCCTTCACTGTGCTTGATTATCACTGGCTGTGGAGCAGCTCCCACCTTGTAAACACGTGCCTTGGTCCTGGTGTAGATGCTGTGGGGCTTTCTGGGAGTCCTGGTTCAGATTGGCAGTTGTGTTTTGTTTTGCCGGATTTCACTTTGTTTTGAGAGCAGCCTGGGGAATAGGTATTAAAAAAAGAATAAAATTGGTAAATTTAAGCCACATCTCAGCTTGGAAATTATCTTCTGATGAGCGCTCTGCACCAACTGATGGGTAGAGCTGATTGAAAAGTTCCACATGAGCCCATGAGGGAAAGAATTGCAGCTTGGTGCCTTTTGCACCCCAGTAAATCATTCCTGGTCTGACACAAGCAGCCATCATGAAGAGCTTGGTCAAACTGGAGTGAGATTTGAGCTGTCATCACTTCTTCTGGCCTGGTGTTTAACTTAATGGGCCTTTACTGGCAGCACCATCCCTGCTGAGGATCTCAGGAGCATCAGTTCTACATGAAAGATCTTTCTGGATGTTGTGGATGTACTTGTGGTGTAGTGAACCGCGGCACTAGTGGTGTGTATACTGCTCTTGCATATTTACATGTGTTCTCATTTTTCACTTAGAAACAAATACGGTAAAGTGATCAGGCCTCTACAGTATCAGTCAACAGTGGCACCAGGCACCGTTGCAAGAGTGGAACCAAATATTAAATGGTTTGGTGAGTTTCTTCCAACTTCAGACTCTGCAGCTTCAAAACTGTTGCTCTCTGTGTTTGCTGGAGGGTGTTTGCTGTGGATTTGTGGTCTTGGTGCTGTGTGGGACAGGAACTGAAAACAAAGGTGAAGGACCATGGGTGTGGACGCACGTGGACCTGTACTTTGGGTGTTTGCTTTCCACACACTCCTCTAAAGGGTGGTTATTCTTTGCTCACATTGTGCTTTCTGTATGTTAAGTGTCTCAGGGATACTCTTCATGTTTTCTTGGAATGAAAGGGATTGGCTTATTTATGCTTATTTGGGGTTTATCTCAGGTAAAATCCTCTGTTTCTTGTCACTGGTAGTTCTGATTCCAGACAAAGCATTAATACTTTATTAGCATCACCAGGTCTCTGGAGCAGTTAAGCTGAGCAATGGTCAGGTGCAGTGTGTGTTTTTACATGCAGGAAATACTCGTGTGATCAAGCAATCATCCTTACAAAAGTTTCAAGAAGAAATGGAAAATGTCATGAAAGATCCTTACAAAGTGGTCATGAAGCAAAAAAAGCTGCCGATGTCTCTTTTCTATGATCGCATTAAACCACACGTGGGTATCGTTCATCTCTACAGATACATTTAGTATAATGGCTTTACACTGAACAAGGGGAGACTGAGCTGAGCTCTTAGGCAGAAGCTCTTCCCTGTGAGGGTGCTGAGGCGCTGGCACAGGCTGCCCAGAGAAGCTGTGGCTGCCCCATCCCTGGCAGTGCTCAAGGCCAGGTTGGACACAGGGGCTTGGAGCAAGCTGCTCCAGTGGAAGGGGTCCCTGCCCGTGGCAGGGGTTGGACCTGGAGGAGCTTTAAGGTCCCTTCCAACACAAAACATTCTATGATTTATCTGTGGGCAATTGGGTTGTCTCTGTTCCATCTGTGTAATGTCTTCTGGAAGCATTGGAAGGGGAAGTTGGAGTGGCTGACTTGGGGAGGGATGTTTTTGAGAGCCTAATGCTGTAGATATTGAATTAGACATTGAATATGAAGCCAAAGAAATGGTCTATTACTTCCCCCTTGTTTGGGAGAAGATCTATTATTTATTAGAAATTCTCATTAGAAAACTTATCCTCAAACATCCCAGGTCTCAGTGGACCTGCTTAGAATACCTGCAGCAGCTTGCCACCCTCTGCTGTAATGCCTCTAATCCTTCGTGTGACAGAGGGACCTCTTTTGAGGATCCTTTGTACCACAGACACTCTCGTGTGATGAATATGAACTTTTTTTTATGTGCTTTTTATCTCATGCAGGCAGCCTTCATTTCTAGTGCATCAGGTTTTAGTTATTACCAGGTTTCTTTCGTGATGTCTGAACTATTATTTTGGACCCTTGTGAGCTGTTTTTTTTTCAGATGGAAACTTCCCAGGTTTATGTCATAAAAATGTTACTTAAATGAAGGGAAAAGTTATAAGAAACTAAAATGTGCATTACCAAAACAAATTGCTTCTTTCAGCAGTGAATTGTGTGCTGTTCCAAGAAAAGTTGGCATTCATTACAAGGCTTTAAAATCTACAGTTTTGATTGTAATTACTCCTGACAAAAATCTGTGAATTTGGCCAGATTTGTGCACTTGTTAGAAAAATAAGAAATGATCAAAGATAGCAGCTGAATTTTCATCATTGTAGCTTTAATTACGTTTGACATCATTTATGGGCAAAGAACTGAAGCATAGCTCTTTGGCAAGTGCAGTGTGTTTTGTTGCTTATTAAATATCCACTCTGATGTTTTTCAAAGATTAAGCTGGAGAACTCAAACACTGTTAGGAAAATGCCTGTAACTCTGGTCGCAGGTTGCAGAGTTGAGCTGAACTAAGGTCTTGTTCACTGCATGTCACGAAAGATGGAAAACACGGTGCTTGTGGGGGTTTTTATCAACCTCTTTTTCCTTAGACGTCCAGAGTTCACATTCTTGACACAGAAACATTTGAAACAACATTTGGCCCCAAGGCACAAAGGAAAAGACCAAATCTTTCTGCTAGTGATGTGCAGTCTCTGGTGGAGAATGCTGAAGCCTCATCAGGAGCTTATGATCAGGGCAAGGACCGAGACCTGGTGACAGAAGACACTGGTGTAAGGTAACTAGAACAGAGAAATGATTTGTTGTTTCCATTTCTGGAAAGCCAGCTTCATTTGTAAAGAAGTATCTAGTCCGTCCATGGACACTGTTTCTGTATGAGGAGAGGGAAAGTGAAATTAGCTCAATTTGTCATTTTTTTCAATCCTGTTTTGCCCTGTGTATTTAACCAAATTGTTGTTTCCATGAGATTCTTGTGGCTTTGTTCATAATTCCATCCTCACATTTTGGGGCAACTATAATTCCATCCTCACGTTTAGATAAGGAAGTAACCAGTGGACACGTAGGAACCTTGGAAAGAGGGCATGTTTGTAGGATCTTCCTGCAAGGGGGAGGATAGGGAGAGGGAGCTGAATCCCAGCTGCCTGTTACTCATGCCCCATCTCCTCTTTTGTCTGTCAATGGCTGTAGAGAAGTCAACACTGTAACCCTGTTATTGTGGCTGCTGATGTCTCTGGTAATCTACTTCCAGGGATGAAGCACAAGAGGATATATATAGGAAAGGACAGTCCAAAAGAATCTGGGGTGAGCTCTACAAGGTAAGCAACCTTTGTAATTTGCAGCAGAGTCGTGGCTGTCAGCCTTTAGAGAGTCAGATGCTTCAGCACAGCATTGGGTATCCTATACAGCAATAATCAGAAAAGCTCTGAAAGCTATTTATTGCTCCAATAGGGAAGCTTTGGTACACTTGGAATTTGCTGTAAAGTTTCTTAGAAACGTTAAGACTTTTTCATGCAGACATGTCCTGAGTTTGTCATTCCCTGGCCTGCACTCCCTGTCAGCCTACTTGAACTGACTGACTTGAAACCATACACCCTTTTTCTGGTACCAGTACAGTACATACACACAGAAATAGCCAGCTGTAGAGGAGAGCAGAGATTCAATTCAAACATCTGACTGAGCTCATGTCCCACTGGAATATGCATCCTTAAAATAGATGATCCAGAGATGGACTGGCAGGGCAGTGGTGTTAACTCCTTTTGGATCCCTGGGACTTCACAGATAAACCAGCCACATGCCCTGAATTTTCTTCAGACTAAAACCATCTGGCACTTTGATAGGGTCATCTCTGGAGGGCTCTGACCCTCAATTCCCTGTGAGCCACCTT